TGCACAGTAATATTTTTTTGAAGCATAGTAGCCGGCAGGTAGCTTACCGGAACGATGCCCATCCGTTACCGATAGCTCAGCCGGCTTGCCCGGGTTGAATTCTTTTTCTCTCTCCTTTTTTCTGTGTATTGCGGTACAGTAGCTGAGATGTTCCCCACCTCTAGCTAACGTGTATGATGATGATGATGATGATGAGGTTTACTTCAAAATGAGCCGAGGTCTCAATAGATTTTGCGAGTCACAACCCAACCACCCAGCGTGCTCCCTAAATTCAGCTTTGAATCACGGAAAACCTTGTTTGTTCGGAGGACAGTATGCTGGGGTTTATGTTCGTGAGTCACAGCCGCCGCATATCAGCCTCCACGCAAAAGTTTCTGAGGGCTTCCACTTAGAGGTGGTTTCTATAACGGAGACTCAAGTGCTCCGCCTTCTGAGGCAATTAAATCCCAATAAAGCTGCCGATGGGGATGCTTTTCATCCCAGACAATAATACGAGTTTGCCGATGAATTTTTCGTCCGATTACGCAACTTTTTGTGAGGTCTCTACGAGGCTGCTGTCTACCCAAGAACTGGAAGGAGGCTATTGTTTGTCCCTTTTTAAGAAAGGTGATAAGCACCTCCCTGATAACTATAGACCGGTAAGTTTGACGAGCGCGCCGGTCAAGTTGTTGGTAAAGCTCGTGAGCGACGCTCTCGAAGGACACTTGAAAGCGTGAGTTGCTTATTCTTTCTCAGCACGGCTTTCATTAGGGCTATTCTTGCCTTGTTAACGGCTCGTGAACACTGGGCCGAAGCCGTTGATTGCGGGAAGGCAGTGGACGTGTTGTTCATTGACTTTTCGCGCCCTTTATACAAGCTAAAGTCCCACGGTATTTCTGGATCAGTCTTACGATGGATTTCAGCTGTCCTAATCGGAAGGGAAATGTGTGTGTGGGTGGGTTCAAGCCTGTCAATGTGTTCTCAGTGGCGTTCCGCAGGGTTCAGTCCTTGGCCCCCTTCTCTTCACTTTATACATTAATGACCTGCCTGATGAATTAGGTGTGTCATCCCTAATGTTTACGGATGAATTGAAACTCTGGTTCACGACAGACGATCCGATTGGTCCACTGACCCTACAGAGTTTTCTGGATAGACTTTGGGACTAGTCATTTTTGTGGCAGTTGCCCGTTAATTTAACAAAATGTTCAGTTTTACGCGTTGGTCCGAATGATCCACCGACGCGTTATTTGCTTGGCGGCAACGAGGTACCGCGAGTTCAACTCCAATCTGCCATCGGTGTTTTGGGGTCATCTGACTTCAAGTCCAGTGAACACTGGACGACAGCTGCTCGCACATGTTCCAACATGTTGTGGAAGATCCGCAGGTCATTCGGGATCATGACCACCGAAATGTCCGTTAGACTATTTTCGGCTTTTGTAAGGCCACACTTGGAATACTGCGTTCAGGCTTGTCCTCCATGCCTGGTTCGTGATAAGATGGCAGTTGAACGAGTCCTGCGGTCCGGGACGAAAATGGTGCACGGATTAAAGAAGCTAACGTATCCGGATAGGCTACGTAAATTAAATATGTTTTCCATGTATTACAGGCGGCTTCGGGTCGACTTGGTCCTCACATATTGTATACTGATGGGTCAGATTGGTCCTGATTTGACTGGACTGTTTGGCCCAACTTGAGCGCCAACCCTTCGTGACCACACATTCAAGTTGCACAAACTCCGGTCTAACCGGGTTTGGGAAACTTCTCGGTTATCGCGTAGGGTCATAGCTTATTTGGAACGCACTGCCTTCAGACGTGATGGCACCGACGGCGAAACAGTTCGAGCATCAACTTGACGCTCTCGGTCTGCAATTTAAAGTCTTCCCCTTCACGTCTTAAACTTTGCCCGTCTACTACGGCCTACGCTTCTTTAACTCATTTTAACTTACCTCTTACCACTAGAAAGACCGCTCCGCCGTTATACCTAGAACGCCCGGGACCGGTCAAAATGACCGCACTGCTATATTTTTTTATCCCAACTTTCAGTTAAGAATTTTTTCACGGCATTTATTAAAAACTAATGTATAGAACATATCTGTAACAGAAAAATGATTGTATTAAGGTTTTTTTCAAAAATTGTAAACAATTCTGTATACCTACTCCAATTTGCACTTGAAGCAAGTGATAACTCGCTCAATCTGTCCACATGAGCCGCAAACTATTTTTTCACAAACAGAGCACTTGTTTTGTGATTTATTACCTCTACAGCGGCGCGCCTCTGCGTTCCATGCAGAACACTTCCGGCCACTTACTGTAGGTATCAACAACGATGAGATACTGTTGTCCATTCACAGGACCAAAAAATCTGCGTGTACTCGCTGCCACGGTTTCGTTAACAACGGCCAAAAAGGTAATTCCGCTTTCCTGGGCGCGTTGCTTACAAGCGCACATTTTGGACACAATTTTGCTAGCTGTTCCAGCTCCGAGTCGATATTCGGCCAGTAAAGTTAACTCCGCGCAATCTTTTTCATTCTGTTAATGCCAGGGTGTCCACGATGAAATTACCGTAGATTTCTTTAGCGAAGCTTACTAGGGATAACAACTCTTTCCGCCAAAAGCAAACAACCATTGACGACGGATAATTAGCGTAAGCAACGTGTGCAAGTTAATAGATTATTCGGGTAGGTAGAACAAGACAAATAAAGTGGAATGAAATTTATCCACTGAACCATCTACAAAATGTTACAAGCTAAATCTGGTTCACTGAATGGGAAGCTGTTTATACCAAGTTCAGGACGATGCTCAGTTGAATCCTCTTGTTGACACTTAGTCCGAATATGCCCATCGTGGTTGCAACATGCTTATAGTTCCGGCACAGGAGCAGTCATTTCCCATGTTTTCCTAAACTGTTCTGAAAGCACTATCGCTCACGCCTCGTGAACGCATAGCAACTGAGAAAAATTACGGTCAAGTCTAAAAAGAGGCTTTCTTTGCTGTCAAGAAATTCCACAATTTTCTGTTTGGCCGATATTTCACGCTGCTCACTGACCAAAAACCGTTGCTTTCGCTTTTTGGAGCCAGGACGGGTATTCCAATATACTCCACCAAGCGTTCTTAACTTTTGGCAACAATTCACTTGGGGTACGATTTTACCATCCAGTGCCGTAGCGCCGGCAATTTCGGACAATTTGTTGCGCAATCGTCGTACGACCGAAGGCGACGCAGTCATTGCTTTTGTACACATTGAGGAAGATGGCCATCGGCAGCTCTCAGATGCCGTCCATAGGATTCCGGTTAGCACTGGCGACTTTGGTCGCGCAACCACGCATGATCCGGTTCTTCAACATGCAATTTCCTTCACATGGTCGCGATGGCTTGCGGGGAAGGACATACTGGTGAGCCAAATCAGCTGTTCTGTCGCTGCAAATCATTATCCGTTGTTGAATCATGCCTTATGTTTGCTTACCGAGTTGTGGTACCGTCATCTGTCCGTCCAGCTGTTCTCCGCCAGTTTCATTCGGGCATAAGCTGGATGAAGACCGTCGCACGTAATTATTACTGACATGCTATGGATGTCGACATACAGCAACTTCTCAGGATGTGTTGTAAATGTCGACAAGCCGCCAAGCTACCCGCTAGGCAAGAGCCGATACCGTGACCACCACCTCAAGATCCATGGTCCCGCCTTCATTTAAGCTTTACTGAGCCAGTCGATGGCGTGTCGTATCTCATCCTTGTCGACGCTTTCTCCAAGTGGCCATAAATAGTAGCACTTAATCTGGCAACCTCAACTAGCACAATTTCCGCTCTTCGGAAGATCTTCAGCCAACATGGTTTGCCAGATGTGCATATTCCAGACAATGGGTCACTAACTTTTGTTTTCGTAAGAGCATCCAACGCATACGGACCCTGGTGTACCACCCTCGATCGAATGGTCAAGTCGAACGCTTCGTCTGTACAGATGAACGCTTCAGAAGTCGCGTGGGGTGGTGTCTACTGATGAGATTCTGCAAGCTTTCTTGTTTTCATGTCAAACTACTGCAAACCTAGGGATGCTCAAAGGTTGTTTTCCTGCCGAAGCTCTGATGGCCGCAAACTGCTCATCCCGAGGAACGATTCACCTATATCTACCGAAGCAGAAAATCATCGTAGTCTCAATGTTGAAACACCTGTATACGCTCGGGATTACAGACGTGGGCATAATGAATGGGTCGAAGCTCTCGGAGTACGAATACTTTACGATGTATTAGTAAATGATGAAATGTGGAGTCGGTACCGCAACTAGTCACGTCTAGGGCGCGGGAAATGAACAAAGGACATCAATCATCGACTACTGCTGCCAGACATATTACTGAAAACTTTCGTCTCTCTATCCACGGGAACTGTAAATCCCATTCCATCGAAAAATAAGGCAGATGTCAGCCTACACCCTTGTGGATGGACGGCTCGAGTTTAAGGTCCAGTAAAGCCCCTACTGCTGAACTCGTAGAAGCAGAGCTATAAGTAGCCATTCCTAAAGTGCTGTTGTGGTAGTTGACTTTTTAAATGACTCGTTTTTACCAGACCTCTCTTATGAGATGTAAAAAGCACACATTTTTCTTCGTTGGTGCTGCTTCTGTTCTATGAAAACTTTTCTTTTCCTTTTGATTTATTCCCTGTGGCACACTACGCCATCGATCATTCTCTTTTTATTTTCAACCAGTGCACTTTTGAATTCCCCAGTGTACTTCTTCTAGCTAGGCAGTTGTCAGTTGTCGATTTGTTTGCCTGCACTAAATTTCCTGCTTGAAAGTCAGCGATTTTGCTTTGGGCTTTTGGATCTAGTTCCAAACGTGTGTTTCAAGCAACTACTCATGGCGATTTCCAATCCCTAACATTTTCCAAAGGTCAGTTTTTATTCTTTACCTTCGCTTTTTCTTCCTATCTGTTGCTTACTTCACGCAACTGGCACAACTGGGGCTGCTACTGCAGGACACGTGGGCATTACTTGGTTGACTAGAATGTGATTCTTTCGTTTCCTTTTAGATCCATCCAAATTTCGGAGCACCTTATCAATTCCTGGTTCGATTTGCTGCTCAAGGATTCTCCCATCGTTCAAATCCCACCTGGACTTGAAATACACTGCAGTTCTTTGATTTATTTCACTGATATGTGCGTTGTCGTTTTCCATATTTGATGAGCGGAGTAGCAAATTTCTTTTCATCTTTCTACACGTGTCTACTTGCATTTTCTGTTTAGCGTGACGCATGCTTTTCTCGGCGCCGTTCATCACATTGCGTGATGTGCAATGAACCACTCTTCTCCTTGCCATCTAGTGATCCTTCTTGAAGAAAAAGTGTCGCGACTTTCCGAAGCTGTGACATATTCCTGTACGTCTCTGCTCTAATTTATTTTTTCCACAGCTCCCGATTTACCTCATCCTTTTGTTATCAAGGCTGCAAATACCGCAGACAACTTTGTTTCTTCTTCACAGCGTGACTCTGTAAATAGGGGAAATAGAACATTCTCCACAATTACTCTAGAGTATTACACGTTCGAAGAAGTATCCAGAGAACTCCGCGATAACTTGACGGGACAGCCCCACATCTCCTCAGACATGGCCGAGGGCTGTCCTGACAGTGCAACCATTGTCTTTCACTCCGGCAACCCGGTTGTGGAGACCACTGAGGGGATTGTGCATGTCTATAAAAATGAGTGCGTAGTGCTCACTTGTGAAACCTTTTCAGCCTTGGTTTGCAAGCTTCCGAAAACGGAGTCACGTCGACTATGTTATGCATTTTTTCTGTGCCTTCTCACGTCACCGTTAAAGACTTGCTGAATTTTGTTTCTCCCATGAGGTGAATGCGCTTTCTGTTGTTTTGAGCTAGCCTAGAGAATCAATCGAAGAGTTGAAGGTTGTGAAAGCTGGAGGACCCCACCATTATATGGCGTTGCTGAAATTTCGTTCCCAGGTACACTTCGATTTGATTCCGTTCATTTTTCTTTTTCAGAGAGAAACGGATCAATTTTACAGAACGTACAACAACACTTGCTACCGAAATTTGGAGTCTGAAATTTGTCAGCTTATGTATGTCTCACACGTAGAAAAGACACATCCGTCAAAGGCAATTCTCTTCATCTATCAACATATTAGTGTAGGGTACGGCGTTCCCCACAAAAGATCTTTTGGAATTGCCTTCTTGCCCAGTGTGTCTGGAAAGACTCGTAAGTTCTCTAGGACCCCTTTTTAATCCCCTGCGTTATTCATTTACTTCTAAACTTCGCCTTCCTATTGTAAGCGTGCAATATCGTTTCTAATGTTTGCTCTGTTTCTCTATATACATTTAATACAAATTGAACTTTTGCAAACTAATTTGCACGTTTTGCAAACCAAATTGAACAACTTGTATTCAAAGCCCGAAAATCAACAATCTGTAAGCAAGAAATAAGGAGTGAGGCGACTAGACGATGTTCAGACCACATTGTGGTCATTCTGATGCAGCCGAACTGTATATGCAGCTAGCCATTGCGCAAGTCCTTCTCTTGATCATGCGTGTCTTTCACCTTGACCAAAGGCCCTGATCCAGTTTTCCCTATCTCTCTACAGACTTTCGCTTTTTTCGTATGGGCATGTGACCGAATCCATTCGGCTACACGATTATTGGAACCACTACTCAGTACAAATATGAAGGGAACCACGGTATGAAGCTGCCTTCCGATGTTTTGCAGCACATTGAACAGACTTATGGAACGGCATTCCTAGCTGCGGTACCGGCTGAGAGAAAACCGTGTCCACTTTTCCATGTCTAAGGCTTTCAACACTCTCAGGAGGCTAAGTATTATGCTCAAGAGATGCTATTACGAGTTAGCCCGGGGCAACATTGCCATGACAATCTCAAGTCGACAAGCCTACGCTTTCGACTTTTCGGTATACTCTACTCCTACATGCTAATTCCGGCAGTTTTGTTTGATAAACGCCTATTTAAAAATGACGGTGTGTTAACAAGATAGTAGTATTGTTAAAGACGGTCAGTTGGTGAATGACTGTCTGAGTGCTGCGTTTGTCAGGTTAAGCATCATATTCAGGACGCATTTCGTGCAGTCCTGGTGCGTTACCGTCCCAATACTCTCTTGAATGACCGTACCTTGCTTCTGGTTAGGCATCAGGTTAGTTAGCAGGCGTCTCACCGACCTTTGTAATTTCGAAAACAACTTTTATTATGTACGGGTAGGGCGGCAGGAACTTCGACTCATAGAACTAGCTCCGGATCCTCCTTAGGTCATCCGGCACGCGGATATTGACGTTGTCCATGACAAGCCATGCACCGTTCATCCCTACTTTGAAGTGTATACGCGCCACTGATTCCTCGACAAAATCGAGAACCTTGCACCATTACAGGTGTCCTCGTTGATACCCTCTAGACAAATGATGCCTTAATTCTTCATTGCCACAGTCAGCGTCACCATAGGGCCTCTGATTATAAGCAAGAGGACGTTTGCGCATATCCATTCTTGAACCAGTCTGCCTCCGCCGCAAATGGGGATTAAACCTGCTCTCATCTACGAAGGTATTTCTCTGATACGCGGTGCGATTGTCGTGGAACTGAATACATGGTCTTGCTCTTAATAGCATTTCTTGAGCATGATCTTTAGACTTCTGAAAGTGTTGAAGGCCGTAGACACAGAAAGGTGGATCCCGTTCTCTCAGCAGGTGCTTCAGCTAAACTAGTGTCCTTGGGATGGCTTTCAACGATCTCTTCAACGGGCTGCAGGACATCGAGAGTCAGCTTTTTACTATTGTTTTCTCTACATTTGGGCGGAGTATTGGTACTTTCTAACCTGTAGGCATTGGCGATGTTTCTTGCCGTGCTCTGTTTGACATCTATACCTTCAGCAGCTTCGTGCGTGGTTTTGCCGTTAACAAACATAAGCTTGGTAAGGATATCGTTTTGTGCAAATGACCTTCGCTTGCACTGTCGCTGACTCGGAGATACATTTTATAATCAATTGTCGCTCATTTTGGCCGTTTCGTGCTGCACAAGCCTAATAGACTTAGGCTGGGTTTGGTAGAGTCATGGTAACCTGCGCTGTTCCAGTAGTCTTGCAGCTGCATAGGTTCGCCCACACAAATACGCGAATCCTGTAGGGAGACGGGGAAAAACTGGGTCACCATCTTGATCGAGGTGAATGACACACTTTCACATTTTGTCAACAACACTGTCACAAACAGCTAGCTATCATGCAACTATAAGGCCGCATCGGCGAGCCACTTTCCTTGCTTCTTTCACTGCTCTGCGTCATAATCAGCCATTAACTTGCAGGTAATTCAGCACCAAACACTCCAAACAAGCAGTCTGACTAGGAGACGACAGCAGATGCGCCGCTGGTGTCGACTGCGAGCCATGTCCTGTAAAGTCTCGAGCTAAGCACGAGGCGAGTCACGTGGACTCCAGCCTGGAAGGCGAGACGGACCAACAGCACCCGGTTTGGCCGTCATTGACTTCATTTCCCACTGCCTACTTAACTTTTACCCACCTCGAGCCTTTCACCACCATGGCAAGCGAAACAAAGTCCTCTTCGGTAAGCGATGACCAGGCATACGTACCTAAGCCAACGCAACCTGTTCAGTGCTATCTGTTGTTCTAAAGAACTAGCTTGTTTCTCACTGCCTAGCACTGTCTTACCTACATCCTGGTTGCGGACACGCTGGTGCCATCTGACACCAGCACTGCTTCGTAGACAACGAGGATAATAACTTAAAGCCGCCTCAGACTGAAGAGACCAAGTCTCACTACCAAAAGGTAAGACGGTCCTCACTGTAGCCTCGTAAACGCAGCCCTTAAGACCAAGGGAAACCCCCTTCTGACGCCACAGTTGTCCCAGATTCAATAAATTGTTCTAGCTTTTGCGATACGTGGGCTGACTTCAGTGGTTTTGCGTCAATCGTTACTGATGCAGCTGGCAAACTAGTTGAAATGTTCAGTTACCTCGAGTTCCTCGCTATCAATGGTCAAGGAGTCATCAACTGGCTGCTAGTCCTGAAAAAAGTCACACTTTGTAGGTGCGATGCGCATGCCAAATAATGAGACCACTCTAGTGGTTACTTAGGATTGATTGCGCCGCTCCAACATCATTAAGAAGAAAGACAATGTCGTGCACCTAATCAAGCTTAATAAGTTTCTGTCAGGCACCACCTGCATCCTGAGGTTCCGCAAGGGGACTGTCCATGATGGGTTCCATGAAGATTTTGAACGATAAATGGGGAATTTAGGTAACACTGACGAAAGTTACTTGTTGTTGGGAAGATGTCCACCAAGTCACCGTAGACCTTGCGCGTGACCCAGTACAAGAGCACGTGAAATGTTCACATATTTCATGGGAACACCTTTTCGCACATGTATCTCGAACAGCATATGTAGATCGACTGGATTGAACACGCTCTTAAAGTTTAAGAACAAAGCTATTGTCAATCTGCGGTACAGATGCGCTGCTCTAGCATCTGCCACAGAGTGATTATGTGATCTGTACATGCTTCCTGGACGGAAGGCTGCTTGCTCTTCCCTAATCCGGGATTCGTGTTCCCCATTGAGGCAGGAAACTGGAATTAAGGCGAGTACTTTTGTCACCGTTGGCTGTAGGCTAATACTACTGTGGTTTTCACTGTCGGTGTGACTGCGTTTCTTGTATAGTGGCACTATGATCGATTCACCCCAGTTAGCTGTGAATGGTCTCTTCCTTACAGACCTTTCCGAAAAAGTGGTGCTTTGCAGAGGATATTACTGCCATCCTTGCGCAGTGTGTGTTCAAGAGTATCCGGACCAGCAGCTCTAACCGATGAAGGGCTGTGATCAATTTTCGTACCTTAGCTTCCGTGGAAGCATCTATAATAAATGACCATGGATCATTCTGCACCATCTGAATAGGAGGAGGTCCAGAACCTGGGGACATCATCATCATCAACAGCAGTACATCAGCCATTTGAACTGATGCTTCGCTGCCATACAATCATGAGGACCTATGAAATAGAAAATAAGAAGAGGGAGAGGAGCGGGACTTACCTAAAAACAAGCAAACATTCAGGGTCAAGACGCCTATACCTTGTATTAACAACATGCCGTCACAAACAGCTGGCTATCGTGCAAAGATAAGGCGGCATCGGCGAGACAGCTTCCTTGCGGCTTTCACTGCCACGCTTAATAATCAGCCGTTACCCCTCAGATAACTCAGCACCAAACACACCTTAAACAGGCAATCCGATTAGGAGACGACAGCAGACGCGCCACTGGTGTCGGTTGCGAGCCATGTCCTGTAAAGTCTCGAGCCAAGCACAAGGCGAGTCACGTGGACTCCAACCTGGAAGGCGAGACGGACCAACGGCACCCAGTTTGGTTGTCATTGACTTCATTTCCCGCTGCCAAGTCAACTTCTGTCCACCTCGAGCCTTGCGCCATCCTACACCTGGCAGACAAACAAGGCCCACCTAGGTAAGCGGTGACAAGGCATACGTAGCACGTGCCCAAGGCAACGCAACTTATTCAGTGCTATCTGTTGTTTTAGGGAGCTAGCGTGATTATCACAACCTAGTACTCGCCTACGCACATCATCGTTGCGGACACGCTCGTGCCATCCGACACAAGCAATGCTTCGCAGACAACGATGATCAAAGACTTGAAGGCGCCTCAGATCTTCAGACCGAAAGGGCCAAGTCTCACTACCATAGAGCAGAACGGCCCTCACTGTGGCCTTGTATACACGGCCTTTCAGACGAAGGGAAACTCCCTTTTGTCGCAAATCATGTCGCAGGTTCAGGAAGGCAGCTCTGGCCTTTGCAATGCGTGAGCTCACGTCAGTTTCTATGCGCCCATCATTGCTGATGCAGCTGCCAAGATAAGTGAATTGATCAACCACCTCGAGTTCCTCGTTAGCAAGCGTCAAGGGGTCATAAAGTGGCTGGTGGTCCTGCAGCAACACTTTGCACGTTGAAGGTGCGAAGTGCATACCAAATAATGGGACCACTCTGGACAGGCTATTCAGGGTTGATTGTGCCGCGGCAACATCATTAAAAGCAAGATGATATCGTCCGCATAATCTAGATCAACTAACCTTTCACCAGGCAGCACTTCGACGCCTACATCGTGAGATTCCGCAAGGGAACACTCCATGATAGAATCCACGACGAAATTGAACAAAAATGGGGAAATCGGACAACCCTGACGAACGCCACTTGTGGTCGGAAAGTTATCCGATAGAC